TCAAACCAAACTGGACTCAAATTCCAATTCTATTGAGAGTTCTATGACCTTGGGAAAAAAATCACCAAACTTAAGTTTTCTCATCTATAAACCTTATGCCATAAGGTGTCTATAAGAAATAAATGTGATAAAGCATAGCAAGTAGAATTACACAATAGTAACTATTTAGCAAATGGTAGCCTAAAAATCAGAGCAGCTGAATAAAAGGATAATAGACAATAAAAGGATTATAGACAATCAAATGAGTAGGCTGTAAAGAAGGGAAACTTAAACTACAAATTCTTAAAAAATCTTTTTTAAAAAAGCATTAATGCACGATTAAAACAAACATTACCTTCAGAGTACTTCTATTTTTCCAAAAAGATACTAGAAAAAGGCTTTAAATGACTGAAATTTTAGTCAGCAGTCATTAAAGTTTTCAACTTAAGTCTATTTCTCATCATCCTTCACATTCAATTTGATAGTACTTTTGTTCACAAATGGTTTTAAAAATTTGAACTATATTGCGGTGACTTATAAGACAACAGTCTTATATCTATGTGTATGGATTATCATAGCCCCTTGAAATCAAGAGTTCTGAAGTGGTTACGCTGACCGATTTTTAAAATTACCTATGTAAGGTAACAGGGAATTACAAAAATAAGAGATACAAATTTCAAATGATATAATACAAGCTACTTCCTCTGAAAATGAATGGAAGACTTCCTTCTGGATTGTAGGCACTTTGGTTATGGAATGTTATTAAAGACTCAGAATATATTCTCAGAATAGAACCTATATGCCTGGTTCTATTCTTGCTTTAATTCTAACACAATCTCAGAATAAAAGAAAAATTTGAAAAAGTAGCACAGACCAGATCGGCTCATCAGCAAAGCTAAAAGACCTAAATATTCAAAGTCACTGCTTTAGTGTAACAGCAAGAACAGCAAAGACAGAGGGAATGTACCCAGAGAGGAGACAATCAAGAAGCACTCTGATCCCAGAACTGGAAAATGGGAAACAGGGAATGCAAGCGCAAAAAAAGTTTTGCCTTTAACACTGAATTCAAGGTGAGTCAGGTCCATCTTAGTTACAGTTTGCCTATAAAAACAGATAGTAAAAAGAGATAAAGAAAAAAGTAAATAATTGAACTTAGAAATTTGTATTTTTTAAGTTTTCTTAGTCCATTCTAACTGAACAACATTAAGTTCAACCATTTAGGTATCTATTTCTCTGATAATTAAGTCTAAACTCAGATCAAGGTCCCAAACTCAAGTGAAAGTGGCCTTTCTTGACAAGTATCTTCACCATCTAGTAGCAATTACCTAAATTTCAGATTTCACACTACAGTCCAATTTCAGGACCTAAAAAACTAAAGTCATCAAGTTAAAAAAAAAAAAAAAGTCATATTAGAATAGAATCCACAACTAACTATTCATACTCTCATCAATATGAACTGGTACACTTTCCAGTTCCTAAACTAAAGCTTAAACCAATTATCAATACCATTCAAAGTTAACTAAACTGCAAAAGAGCTCAAATCCACATCTGAAGATTTTAATGATTTGGAAATATTTTCATAAATATGGCAACTTCCTGAATCCTTACCTAGAAAGTACCTTCCCCTCCATAGCCCACTAAAGATCTATCATCTTTCTACTAAGGACTGTATTACTATGTGATAAAGTAATAGAAAGCATCTAGTCATCAATTCAACATTAACTATGAAAGAATACTTAAAACAGGAAATTATTAGACTCTGACTTCTCTCCTTCCTTAAAACTGTTATCAACTCTTTAAGAAAAATGTAAATGTCCCTGTGAACCCTGTGAATAGCTACATTCCCTTAACACCCCCAACACAAAAGCTAACCATTCCCTTGTGCTCCTACAACACACTACACCCCTCCTGTATAACACTAGTCACCATAGTGGTATAGTTACTTATTTATATGTCTGTATCCCCCACTAGACCTGAGCTTCATAAGAGCAAAGGACAGTCATCATCATCTTCACATTGCATAGATATTTGAATGCCAAGTCAATAAAATCCTAGTTAAATAAATAGATGAAGCTCAAGAAATGTGCTTTTTGAGGAGCGGGGTACATGTATGGTAAGTTTACAGGGGGAGGGGGAGTTGAATTTTAAATATTCATATGGAGATTAAATATTCACCTATGATTAAGTCAAATCAACATCTGACCATAAAGCTGAGATCTTAAGACTTCAGGATTACACTTATAGAGTTTAGCAAGAATTCCATTAACAGCATGTAAACATGTGACCTGTCCTTACAGGAATCCTAAAAAAGACAACTTCAAATCTCTATTCTTCCTCCTCCCCCAGCAGATCCCATTTACTTTCCCAGAAGCCACTGCCACAGGAACCAAGGCCCATCAGATCCAAATAGAACGGTATCATCCAAAGCCATCAACTTTTCTCCTTCTTACTGGGGGAACTCCTACTCCTACAAGGCACTGGAACCCCTGCTTCCAAGTCCACCTACCTCCACCAGGCAGATATTAAGGAAGAGGCACAAGAAATGATCTCTTAAAAACCAAACAGCAGGGCTGAGGCTGTGGCTCAGTGGTAGAGCGTTTGCCTAGCATGGGTGAGGCACTGGGTTCGATTCTCAGCACCACATATAAATAAATGAATAAAATAAAGGTCCATAGATATAAAAAATATTTTTAAAAAAAGCAGCCAAGAGTGGTGGCACATGCCTGTAGTCCCAGCTTCTTGGGGGCTGAAGTGGAAGGACTTCTTGAGCCCACAAATTGCATAACAGCCTGGGCAACACAGCAAGACCCTATCTAAATAAATAAATAAATAAAATTTAAAAACCACCAAAGAGCACTTGAAAAGCTGTCAGTGTGGGTGGACATAAAAAACATAATTTCTGCTATACTATTGCTTAATCGTGAAAATAACATCAAAAAATAAATTTTTAGGACCCCAAGTTCCACGTTGATGACTACCATAGCTATGGGATACCACTGAACAGTTGATCTGCTCAATGACTGTGATACTTCAAATTAATCTCTAATGATCATAATGTAAACCTGCCAAATCTAATAACCATACAGTTTTTAGTGAAATTTGTAATAGTAAACATATGCATCCCCTGTCCAAATCTCATTAACCTGGAAATGACAGTCTATTACTTGATATTACAATCTACTTGGAGAAAACTTGCTGGAGGATAAAAAAGTTAGGTTTACCACAAGGCTGAGTCATGAATAGGATGCATATTATTTGGTAAAGCCTCAAAAAGCATCTCTGTGTGTCTACAAAAGGCAGAAGGGTTGAGAAAGAAGTTTTGCAACTGATATCCTCAAGCAGCTCATAAACGAAGGCACTTACAGTCCTCCACTAGTGATTAGCACTACAAGGGGAAAACTGCCAAAAACAGGTTTCTCCCAGGCAGATAAGGTAAAAAGGTTTCATATTCCCTTCTCTAATACTTAAAAAAAAAAAAAAAAAAAACAAGTTACAGAACAGTAATAATTCGTTCTATCAGACTGCAGACCAAGTCCCTTTTGCTTTAACAGTACAACATAAAGATCTCACATAAGTACATATATGATCAAGAATGTACTTGGGCTATTATTATGATATTAAATGATATTTTGGCTGTTGTGAACAGCACTATGACTTTCAATTCTGACTACTCTGAAAAGCTACTTTTCATTTCAAAATTGTGTAAAATTAATCATATGCAATAGAAAATTTTTTGTAAAGCAGAAATTTTTTAACAAATTGCTACCATGTGAAACTTTTAAACAAAAGTTCTGAATAAACCAGAGCTCCAGCTATTCTGTTCCAAGTACTTACATACCTCAGGGGGGTTTTTGCCCTCTACTAAAATTATTTGTATCATAAAATACTGACAAACACAGCTAATGCCAATGAGTTATTTTTCTAACCCTCCTGTTTTCACAATAATTGTCCTAATTCCCTGATTATTCTAGAAATCTAAAAGCCTAACCAAACTTAATACTGCAACATTGAAAGAGTCCTAATTCATAAATATCTTAAGTGTCTTCCTAACTTAGGCTGTAAAACAAGACTAGAAGGCATAAATGCCTTCTAGTAAACCCATGTGTATATCTGTCTGATGCAAAAATAGTTCCCACCCTAAAATACACACCTTTTCCATATTTAAACAAAAGTTTAAGTAAATGAACACTGTTCAATAATGAAAAATGTATATAACAAAGAATATGGAAACCTCACTCTACATGAGACTAACCTTCTTTCATTAACTATTTCAAGACTTCTTAACTACCAATTAGGTTCTTTCAAATCCGACTTTAGAAACAAATGGATCTACACTGTCCATCTGTATTTATCTTTGCAATCTCCACATATGCTTCAGAATGGGAAATAAAGTCACACTGATCTTGGGGAAACAGGTGATATGAACTCCCTATGAAAGGAATAAAAAGATACTAAATGGTTGGGAGGTGGAGAGAGGGTTGGAAGGACTATTCTAAATTAAAGAGATTTCTGTGTCCTTCCTCTTCAGGAGAAAAACGAGAAAGGAGTGCTGGTGGAAGAAAATTAATATACAACTTGCTCCTTGAAACCCAGGCTTTAAAGTATAATTTTGGAATCATATACTTATTTCCAAGGAAAAAAAATTATCTTCACAATGAACGAATTTCTGGATGAGGTACTTAGAGTAAAATGGAATTCTAGTGTAGAAGGGCTGTAGCACTTCTTTATCTTTAAAAAAAAAAAAAAAGAATGCATGTCATTCTCCTTTTAGGCTGATGACTACGGAAAACGGTCCCTTTCCATATCTGCCAATTTTACGTCTCTTGATATTTCTGCACCCTCTTACTAATTAACTGGTCTTCATCAGGAAGATATTAATAATGGTTGAACACTCAGGAGACAACCACAGCCTCAAAACTAAAGAGACCTATTCAAGAAGAGACGGGATGAACCAGGAGAAGGAAGGTACATGGCAAAAACATAGCAGGTCAGAGCAGTTGTGCCCGGCTTTGCACACTTACTGGTTTGCTAGGGTACACGTTAGATAGATGCGTTTTTAGTTTCCCCACGGTCCAGTTCAAGAAGCAGCTAATAGTCTGGTCACTGTATTTCTGATTCGGTGCTTTAATGATGAGGGTCACAGGAATCTCCATCCCACTTTGGTCCATGGTGCCCCAAAGTCGGACGGTCAAAGAGGAGCAGCAATGAGCCCTAATGAGCCGAAGTGTTTACCGCCGGCGCGGCTAGGATGGGGACGGAAGTGAGTTCTTAGTATTCTGTGTTCAATTCAGTCACGAGTGCATCGGGCGATACGAAGGCCATTGCCAGTACCAAGGATGGACAGAGACGGTGGTGGTGGTGGCGGCGGCGGCGGGGTCTGGGTGCCCGGCCGTGGGTGCAGCTCTCCCCGCCAGGTCCGGGCTCCGCCTGGCTCCGGACTGTGGAGGGAGGCGGGGGGAAAGAGAAAGCGATGAGAAAGCAGGATGGGAAGGGTGGGGGCGCGACCACCAGGGTCACCGCCCCGCCCCTACAGCAACCCCCAACCTGAAACGCAATAAGGCCCCTACGCGACTGCCCCGCCGCGCAGGCTGGGGAAGTAGCTGGGCTGCGCAGGGCGGCTAGTCGGGAAAGGGGTACCTGAGACACGGCAGCAGGGCCCGCCACCGCCGCCCTCCGCGCCCAACAGGGCGGCCAACAGCACAGTCGGGGCGGGCGTTCTCGGCGGCGGCCGCTCCCTTCTTGCTGCTCCGCGGAGGCCGGCACGGCCCACCCCGGGTCTCGCGAGGCGGAGCGGGTAGCAGTCAGAGAAGTTGGCCAAAGGGCGCGGCCCAGCTCTCCAACTGACCCCTAGGGCGGAGGCGGCGGCAGGTGGCAGGAGGGCGGGACGACGGCAGCGGCGCCGGCCCCGAGCGCGCAGATTTTGTTGTTGTTGTGTAGGGGGTCCAGCTCCTCTTTAAGCCGGAAGGCGCAGAACGGAAGTGCGTCACGCGCGGAACGCCCCTGCGCGAGGCCGGGTCAGCCCCGCCGCCTCCCGCGGTGTTTGCACTGCGGGTAACTGGACGTCCTGAACCTAGCTGCGCATCGCCGTAGGCTGAGGCCTGAATGCGGTGGCTCTTGGTGCAACCCTGGCCCCCAACACCAATTTAGGTGACGTTAGCATATTTGTTGACCACACCCTGGAGGTGCAGGAAGTGCTTCTTCCTCCCATGGGTTGTCTCTGCTAAAGTTAATACCCTCCCTAATGCTGACTCAAACTGCTCAAAATTTTTTAAATGTCGACTATCTGCAAAGCACGGTGCCAGGAGGGGAGGCCATGGGTACATCGTGTAAGGAGCACTCTGCTTTGTGGGAACCTAGCTACCCTTTCTGAGTCTCCATTTAGGGAACAGTCCTGCCTACCCAACTGCATGCTGATAAAGGAAATGAACTGTCCATGTAAAGCGAGGTATAATTAGGGAGTATGGCCGTCTCTCAAACGTCAATTTGTCTTGGTTCTCTTAACAAACGTTGACAAGTGCTTATCAAATACCTACTACTGTGTGTTCAGTACAATGGGGCTTGAAGAGGGATAATAGTATTATTTTTCCGTTTTACAGGTTTGATATAGGAACAGAGGTTGATTTAAACTTTTTCACATTCCTTGCAACTAGGATAGGTTTGATATAGGAACAGAGATTGAGTCCACAATTTATTGCTGGTTTATTCTGCATTGTTTGCATGGGTTTAGGAGTCAGTAAATTTAAGTTTGTTTAATGTGCATTTTCACTGCTTCAGACTTCAACTTACAGGAGAATGCAAACTGATAATACAGGGAATTTGGGGAAGTTGGTCTTTTTCTTTCTCAATACAATAAGGACTTCAAACTACCACTGGATTAGTGACCAAGTGGAAGAATTTCCAGTCAGCAGCTAATGCAGCAGGATCCCTTCCATCCTCCTCCCCCATTACACACCACCTTTTTATGGTAGGACATTTTACCTATCTTAGCGGTACCCTCCCAAGTGCTGTTCTGAAATAAAAGTGAAATCCCCGTTGTTGCCAATCATGGAATGACCACAGCTTTCTGTGATCGGGTTTTCTATAGCAAACTCTGCTCTTTGTTTACTCTGTCACCCAAACAGAACCTTAACATTCTAGGTTAATAAAAAAAATTTTTTAAACTTTTTCACATTTCCTTGCAGCTAGGAGCAACCATATGACACAGGTCAAGCAAAGGAAATGAAATTTGAAGTTACTACTGGGGTTCCCAGGAAAGTTTTTAGGACAAGCTCCATAGAGCAGAACTCATCCTTATCCTACATTTGTCTTTTGAAGGTATGTTATGCTAGAGGTGCAGCAACCATGCATGAAATAACAAGCAGAAGAATAGAAAGTCTGCATGCCAAGCATGGCAGAAGCTAGGTCCTTAGTGGCAACATCATGTCATCATATAAACGCTTGACTGTCCTTTCTAAAACTTTTTATCTCAAATTCCTATTAAGCCAAGAAGTCTCAACCACCATCATCCTTCCATCCCTACAGCTCCTGTCACTTATGCTTGTGACTCAGACTTCCAGGAATCCTTTAAACATGATGTGACCATCTTAACTTGGCACGAGAAAATGTACATTGCTATTGAAATGTATACTAGCAATTATTTAAAAAGGAATTCTTTGCTCCAGTAATAACAAAGAATATGGTGGTATAAATAAATGAATGAATAAAAACAATTATTAAGACAGAAAGTGCATTTCACAATGTTAGGCACAATTTAAAGCAGAGTCCATCAAAGATTCACTAGTGTGAACAAAAACTAAAATTATAATGAATGCCAGGCTCTATGGTGCAGACCTATAATCCTGGCAACTCAGGAGATTAAGCAGGAGGATCACAAGTTCAAAGCCAGCCTCAGCAATTAAACAAGGCCCTAAGCAATTCAGTGAGGCCCTGCCGCAAAATAAAAAATAAAAAGGGCTGGGGATATGGCTCAGTGGTAAAGTGCCTCTGGGTTTAATCCCTAATACAAAAAAAAAAAAAAAAAAAGTGGAATAATTTGAAATATATGAACATGTAGTATCAGACAAAAATGATTTTAACTTTATAACTACTTGAGTAAGTACCTAAAAAATGTTCTGATGCTGTTGAAATGGGCCACAATAAAAAATAAATGTACCATTTTTGTCAAAATATGTATATATGTGTTTATAACAATGTATGAAAGGGTGGTCCCCAGAATATTGATAGTGTTTGACTTGGAATTTGGGATAGAAATAATCACTATTGAGGGGATACAAGATAGTAACAGTTGGTGAGAGACTGCTATAAACTAATTAATATGCCAGGTATGGTGGCATACAGCTATAATCCCAACGACTTGAGGGTTGATGCAGGAGGATCAAAAGTTTGAGGCCAGCTTTAACAACTTATCAAGGACAATCAGTCTCAAAATAAAACATAAAAAAGGGCTGGTGATGTAGCTCATTGGCAGAGAACCCCTGGGTTCAGTCCCTAGTAACCAGACCAAAAAAGAAAAATCATGTACATGTTGCAGATTGGAAATGTGAAATGTGAAAGAACGATTGCTATTAAAATTAAGACTTATTTTATTGACTTGTTTAACTGTGAGATCACAAATGTCCACTTAGATGGATTTGATTAGGAGGATAATGAAGCACCTGACTCCGAAGAGGAGGAGGATGAGGATGGAGATGAAGATGATGGAGATGAAGCTGGTCCACCTGAAGTATATGAGGAAGAGGAGGAGGAGGAGGAGGATGAAGATGAAGCAGGATCAGAACTGGGAGAGGGAGAAGAAGAAGTGGGCCTTTCTTACTTGATGAAAGAAGAAATTCAGGATGAAGAAGATAATGATGATGATGTTGAAGATGGGGAAGAGGAGGAGGAAGAGGAAGAAGAAGGTCTGCAGGGTGGGGGGAGGAAACAAGATGCTGAAGATGATGGGAGAAGAAGAAGATGACTAGATCATTCTAAGACCAGGTTCCCCAGCATTTCTGGGTGTGCAATAGAGTGATTACATCTTTATTTTTTCATGTACAATAGCTATCCCAACATAAGATAATGTGTAACTTTTTATAGAAAAGTGTGCTCTTAATAGTTTTGCCTTATCATTCCAGTTAAGATTTACTAGTCTATTAATGATCATTGTATGTAGAGAAAAAATTTCATTGACACTCCCCCATTAAGATATTCTCTAGCAATTATATTTAGAAGCTTAATTTTTCTAATTCAAGTTCAAGTTCATTGTATTAGTAATTTTTAGTCCATAATTAAAACATGATTGCTTTTACACAGATGAAGTTTGGTGCATTTCATTCATAAGATTTTAAAGTTATTTATAAATTAACTGAAATTACAGTCATCTGTAATATGAAATGACAGTAGTCTCTTGAATAAGTTGATTATTTTTTTTAGAGATGATCCAGGGATCTTTATTTTGAAGGCATTGACTTTTTTTTTTAAATAGCTAAGGATATTCGGGTGGTTTTTTTGTCACATGAATTAAGTTGGAAAGTAGAAGCAGAATAATAAAGGTTCTATTCAGCAATATAGTTTGTGGATTTGGGGGAGGTTCTAATCAGTAATATAATTCATGGATTTTGTGGTGATTGATGATTTTATTTCTGAAGGAAAAATTGCCTATACTAAGTGAGACACACAGGTGAGCCCGCTCTTTAGGCTGCAGATCATAACATGCCAATGGTTGTTTATTTTGTTTTGTTTTAGATGTGCATTTTTTTTTCCTCTCTTCGATTTCTTTATGATCACCTTCCCTTCTTGTTGACTCCCCTCTCTATATCCCAGAAGAAAGCTGGGAACTTCTGTATACCCAGAAAACCTTATAAAAGCCTTATACTTCAACCACCTTTTCAGATCTCTCTGGGTTTTAAACAGAGTGGAAGAAACTGAGAATTTTATGAGATACAAATATTGTTATTGATACAATTTTAGGCAGCAAGTTCTGCTTATTGTAAATCTTTCTTGACTGACAACACTTAAGACCATATAAGTAGGATGAAGAAAGTAAAGGACAGGGTAGGGTTTTTGAATTAGCATCAGTGTTCATTGCCTGTTGATAATTAATGAGACATTTAAGTCAATTTTTAAGTTAGCATCCCAAATTATTTGGATACCAACCCTGCACAGTTTTTAAAATTTTTCTGGGTAGGCCTTTTAGTTTTCCTATAGTTTTAAAGCATTACCAGATTTAGCATTTAATTGGAATATTGTAGGCAGTTGGAAAAATATTTGGGATTAAATATTAAAATTAAGACTTATTTTCAAGTGAATGTCCATTAAAATAGAAGAATATTTGGGATAAGTATGAGTATGTGCTTACTTACATGGTTACTAAATAAAATATAATGAATAGACAAGTACATCTCTATTTTTGTCAAGGAGCTTCCATGTTCATGGTAATTGCTTTGTTCTTCTTGACTATCTAAACATTTTTTCTTTGTTTTGAATATTTGTAAAGTTTTTAAAAGTTGGTTTCAGGAAACTAATTGAAGCTATTCTTCTCTGCTGGGACACATCTAAATTATGAGTGTAGTACTACTGCTGCTTGTTTTTTTTTAGTTTAAAATGTATGACTTGGCGTTTTAAAGGTTATTTGTGGAGAAACTAAAACAGTTGCACAACTGACTGAAATAAAACGCTTGGAATAAATTTAGTAGGGGAATCAGAAAGTACAAAAGATTAACTTTTTTTCTCCTAATTTTTAACAATTGATATGCCCTGCTTTTCTAAGAATTTTCATTACATACTATGCCCAGATTATAAAATACTTATTTTTAAAATGGAATCTATATATTGACTTTCTTATCAATCATCTTATTGTGTGATCAAAATTAGAATTCTTTGGTTTGAAAACAACACATGAACCTCCAGATAACTTTTAAGAACTTATTTAGCTTTGTGGGTGGTATTTTCATGCAAATAAGTAAGGGAGGGGTTAT